AGCCAAAATTGGGATGAAACGTTAAGTGTTTGTGTGCACATCACGACAGAGCCAAGTATCTATCTCCCTTCAACCTACCCTGCTCCAGTGATAAACATTAGACTATTTTGCATCTTTAAAGAAATCTGAGGTCATCTCATTCACCTAGTACACCATAGAAAAACATACCAATTCATTTGGCCCAAGTCCCCAATTTGTGTCAACTCACATCCATCTATTTTGGTGCTGCTGCTATAATAAGCTGGTCGTTATTACGAGAGACATTGGCAGAACCTATGGAATCGGAGGTTTTCCAATGCAATAACATCTCATTTTGAGAATTTTACCATGCATTCAAAAGTAATACAAATGCCCAGTTATTCTGTTTATTGTCCACATTACTTGACCTGATCAATTGTACATGATACCAAGGCTGAGCTTATGAGCCTTCCATGAGACCTAGTCTCTGCAAAAAAAAAAAATATTTTTAATTAGTTAGGCATGGTGGCAAGCACCTATAATCCCAGCTACTCAAGAGGCTGAGGCAGGAGGATCCCTTGAGTCCAGGAGTTTGAGGCTGCAAAAAGCTATGATGGCACGACTGCACTCCAGCCCAGACAACAGAGACGGACGGACGGAAGGAAGGAAGGAAGGAAGGAAGGAAGGAAGGAAGGAAGGAAGGAAGGAAGGAAGGAAGGAAGGAGAGAAAGACAGAGAGGGAGGGAGGGAGGGAGGGAGGGAGGGACGGAGGGAATAAAGGAAAGGAAGGAAGGAAAAGAAAGAAGTAAAAAAACGCTTCGACTATCAGAAAAGAAAGTTAAATCCATATGTCAGCTCATATGTATCCTCAAAAACATAGAATCTACCAATAAAATATAAATCAATGTATAAAAGTAATGTTAAAAAATGAGACATGTAGGCCAGGCACAGTGGCTCACACCTGTAATCCCAGCACTTTGAGAGGCCAAGGCAGGGGACCATTTGAGGCCATGAGTTTGAGACCAACATGGGCAACACAGGGAGAAAAAAAATTTGTAAAAGTCTCTGCAAAAAAAATAAAAAATAAAAAAATTAGCCAGGCCTGATGGAATGCACCTATGGTCCCAACTATTCAGGAGACTGAGGCAAGAGGATCACCTGAGCCTGGGAGGTTGAGGCTACAGTGATTCATGATGATGCTACTGCACTCCAGCCTGGGTGATGGACAGAGACCCTATCTCAAATGGGAAGCATAAACAGTTCTGTGATCTCAAGCTTTAAAGGTGACAATGCACAAATATGAACGTCTTCATCTGCCTTGGTTCCCACTGAAATCTATTCCCAGCACAGCAGCTAGAGTGGGCCTTTTAAAATGTTAACCACATCATGTCATTCCTGTGCCCAAAACCTTACAAAACTTTTTCCCCTTATACTCAGAGTTAAAAATCAATGTCTTTCCAGTGACCTACAAGACCCTACATGACTTCCACCCACCCATCCACCACACCACACCACATGCCCTAGCTCTCTCATCTCTCTCCTGCCATCTCTCCCCATGCCTCATTTTGCTTCAGCCTCACCAACCACCTTGCTGTTGCTGCTCCAAACCTCCAATCATGCCCCTGCCTTATGACCTGAGCACCTGCTTCCTTTCTTCCTGGAGTGTTCTTCCTGGCACTGTCCCTAACCTCCTTTAGGTATTGGCTCACATGGGAACTCAGTGAAGCCTTTTCTGTCCAACCCAGCTAAAACAGCAACTCCTAGTCTCCCTTCCTTGCAGGGTGGGGGTGGAGGGTGGGGGATGTGGGGGGGTATGGGTGTGTGTGTAGCACTTCTTACCAACTGCTATACCACACTTTACTTATACATTCATTTACAGTCTGGAGTCTGTCTCCCCTGATTAGAATGTAAATTCCACAAGGACAGAAATGTTTTGTGATTTCTTCACTTGTATACCCTAAAATCTAGAACAATCCTCAGCACAAAGCAGACACTTGATACACAGACACTACATAAATGTTGTTAAACATTATCTATTTGTTCATTTTCTATCCTCTCATTTGCACATAAGCTCCTTGAGGACAGGAACTGCTGTTTCCCACTTGTGCAGTCCTAGCACCTAAAACATAACCAGCAATGTAGCAGCCACTCAACAAACACTTGCTGCATGAATCCTTAATCATCTGGCAGAGAACAGAAAAAAAATTTCAACTCAGATCTACACATTCTCAGCATCTTGCTGGGCTCTGAGATAACGTAGCCCAATTGTTACTGAATCATCCATGTTTTCACTTTTAAAAAATGCATACCTATATTTCATATATAATCCAAAGTGCAATTAAAAACCAAAAATGACAGGAAAAGATTAGTGAGAAAGCATCAGTGTTTCCTTGGTGATAAGAAATGGACTGTCACGGTACAAAATTGTCAAATTATGCAACAAAAACAAATTCATTTTCATTGTCCCCCAACACTTTTATTTTCACATTAATCAATTATTAAAGGCTCTTTCGAAAAGAGCTCTGACCCTTTCTCTTCTCAATATTGAAGCTAATTCATAACCCAGAATAATATGACATTTACTTTCTTGACAACTATCAGATACAATAAAGTTTTGTTATTTTCTTTTGCTCAAAACTCTGGCATACTGAAAATGAGGATGGTAAGAAACGTGGCTACTAAAACAAATGTGAAATGATCAAGACAAGGCTCTTTTTCAATATCAGGCGAACATTCTTTGTTTGCAGCAAAGATGCTATCGACTCAGAGTGATGGGAAGCAAAGCAGAAATCACTGCTGGTGCTTCCCATGAGATTAGGACAAAGTCCTTTCAGTCAACGAGACTAATCAGAAAACACAAATACCATGAGGTCCTTCACCTTTGCTGTGATAACCCGAGGCAAAGCCAGAAGGTCAGCAGCTCTATACATTCATGGTCTGACCCCTCCTGAGCTTAGAATATTGGGTCAAAATGGACTACAGTTTACTTTAAATCTAGAGCAAGTGATCTATAGCTTTACCTAGTTTCACAGATAAATCCATAGGATGAACTCAGCACTTATAAAGGCAAAGACTTACAGTACTCCTTTCAAAAATGCCCAGTTACAGCCGGGTGTGGTGGTGTTTGCCTGTAATCCCAGCTACTCAGGAGGCTGAGACAGGAGAATTGCTTGAACCCAGGAGTCAGAGGTTGCAGTGAGCCGAGATCATGCCATTGCACCCTAGCCTGGGCTACAAGAGCAAAACTCCGTCTCAAAAAATACAAAAAGAATGCCCAGTTAATTTTAAAATGTAAAGAGATCAACACATGGCTTCCAAAAAGGTTAAGAGCATACTAATTCTGGAACTAGATTCTTTGAAGCTAAAAGTCACATATCATCACTATTTGTAGAAGCATAATTTATGTATCTGCTTACAAAATCATAATGTAAGGTCTAATGGACAGAAAACAAAACATGAAGATGCCATATGCACAGCTATTCCTGGGCAGATACAGGCCAGGCAGTCCCCTAACCAATCTCATAGCACAGGGCAGCTAATTTTAAACCATGCATCCCTAAGTCCCACAATGGTAGGAGAGGGGACCAAGCATGAAGCTTTGGACCTCTCACCCAAAACCAAATAAGAGGAGAGCATTGCCTCTCTTAATGTTTGATATGCTGGTATTCTGCAAAATATCATAGTAAAAAAAAAAAAGGTTTCTGTTGCTTTAAAAATGCCTGCAAACCAGCAGCAAAGGCTTTAGAATAAGGAAGACCGGAGTTCAAATTCCAAATTCATTGAGAGATAATTAGACATAATCATGCCTTGCAAAGAATCAGTGTTCATAAGTGGTAGCAATCATTGTTATTTATCACAGGGTAGTACTAAAGGGTATTAAAGGAGTGATCTCAAAATACACAACTGAAAACCACGTCACTTCAATGTTATACCACATAACCCTCATTTGATCAGTTATGAAAACAATTTTTTATTTTCATAAAATTTCTCTGGCCAATTATGAAAATACTCCTTACAAACCCGTTTATCCTTTAGGTACTAAAGGCATAGTACAGGGAAGGAACAAGGAGGGGTGGCAGAAGAGGGGAGAGAGAGAGAGAGAGAGAGAGGGAGAGAGAAAGAATGGGGGGAAGGAGAGGAGAAGGAGGAGAAAAAGGAAGAAAGATAACAAGAATAAAAAAGAAACTGCTCCAAAGCATGAAAAGAAAATTACAAAATAAAATTTAATACAAACCAGTCATGACTAAAGCATGATATTCAAGAATTTTGGTTTTTAGCCAGGCATGGTGGGTCACAACTATAATTGCAGCACTTTGGGAGACTGAGGCAGGAGGACTGCTTTAGCCCAGGAGTTCAAGGCTTCAGTGAGGCACCACTGCACTCCAGCCTGGGCAACAGAGCAAGGCTTCAATTCTATTTTTTTAAAAAAATTGTTTTCATAAACATTTCATTATATTTTTAAATAATTTGTAGGTTAAATTTTCTTCACTTCACAAAAAATACTAAGAATCCATAATAATTGCAGACAAATCACAACCAACTTCAATGTAGGAGATATATCCTCTTATGTGGTTTGGATTCTGATAAAAGGGTATTCAACTGGCTGCTCTCCAATTCATGTAAGTGTAAATAGGTTGGCCATTAAGATTCAGAACAGGCATTGACTCAACACTCAGAATATTCTGCTTTGTTGTTTAGACGTGTGAAGTACAAGAATAATTGCTAGAATGAGAATGGAGAATACGAGGGCCAGTACTCCTCCTAGTTTGTCAGAGGCCATCACATTGCAGTGAGAAGTAATGGCAGAACCAAGGATAAGACACGGGGGAGAGGAGAAGTCAGTAATGGCAGAACCAAGGATAAGACACAGAGGATGCCTTCTGTGATCTTTCCCAGCCAGGCTTTCCAGATACCTGCAGAAAAGTAGCATTTTGAATCAATTGTTAAGAACCATTAGCCACTACTGTGGCTCCTCTCCAAGCTGCAACACCTATACTGACAGGAAGTGCTGCCATCACCAGACAAGAAGAAAGGAGGAATACCTGCTTTATTTTATTTCGGGAGTTAGTGATGCGCTCTGTGATGCTCTGGTACGTGCGAATGGCTGTCGTCAATTCTGTGTAGTGCTGCACAATCAATTCATCCAGGTCACGGTCACATTTCTCGTAGGCTTCTTCAAGGCGACCCTTCTCATTTTCCCTGTCTTCAACATCATCACTAGTAGACAGAGTCCTGGTGAAGGCAGAGAGTAGATCAAGCTGAGTAAACTTGAAGTAAAACGCAAAAGAAAGCTGACTTAGTCCACATGCTAGCACATTCATCTTACTAAATGGGAAATGAAATAAGTTACCAACAGAAAACACAAAACTTCCTCCACAGTAAATTCCAATAGCCCATCTAAGTGGATGTGTTGTTGCCTATCCAAGGGGCCCTTCTCTTCACCTGTGTCATGGGCACTAGAACTGATTTTAATCAGAGAGTGGGCAGGCATGAACTGTTCAAGAGACTGGGTAACTCTTGATTTGAGTGAACTGTTGTAATTCCTAATAATTCCATTCTCTTTATCAGTGACAAGTCTGGTCAATGAGATATACCTAAGGAAGTACTAGGAACAATTTCCTGCAAGAATAATAACAAGAAAAGGTCCCTTTCCCAACCCTAGATATCACTGTACAAAGGTAAGATACTCAAGACACTTCAGCCATGTTACAACCATGGAAGGAAAAGCCAAGAGGAATGCCAAGCTACCACTATGTCCTTGGCCACCAAAGCAGCCAGCCCTGCAGCCGCCTTACCTCAGAACTTCTTAGGGGACATAATAAATATCCATTGTTTAAGTCATTTTCAATTGCTCTTCTTTCATACATAGCTGAAAGCACAGTAACTGATAAAATACACTGAGGAAGCACCTTCCAAACAGCTCATTTGAATGACCTGAATTTGGTATGGAGTCCCCAGCAATCTGGAAATAAGGTCATATTAATTCTAAAATCTCTTACCACAACAGGCATCCAAGCTATCCTACAGTACGGTTCCTGCACTCACTCATCTTCAAACAGCACTAACAAGATTGATATGAATCAACAATAAGCAGGGAATGAGATAGACATACTTATTAAAAATATTTCAATAACTTCGTTTGATACATGGACCACAGATCTGTTTCCTCTACTATCCTTCTCGGATAATTTTTTTTAATTTAGTATTGTAATCAGTAACAAAGGAACCTTTTCCTCTTATCTGTTGTCTGTGGTAATTTAGAGTTTCATTAAATTCCCTCAGATTTGTCAGGTTATACATTCAGCGTAGTTTATTTCATTTATCTTTTTTAATTTAGGGAGGGGGGATATTTTAGGTTCTATGACGGATGCCATCAATTATAAGTCCATCATTAGAACTGCTTTCAGAGATGGTCTGTCAGCAAATCAATCACATATCCACTTCTAGATATTTGCAAGCAAAATACTGTACAACAATCTGCTCTGAACTGTCATTTAGAGCAAACGATCTTAACTCATGAGCGACACAATATATAAAACTTCTTTTTCAATTTATAGGGAAATTCAAGGCAGTCTTTGACTTCAATCTAACCTCCAAAAAGAATTTTACAATGATTTTTGTTAGGTGTTACGGATGCTAAAAGATCAGCTATATCATGAATGGGTGTGGGGAGGGCAAGAACAAAGGCGATGAAGGGAAAGGCAAAACCCACTAAGGACAGTGCAGGATGCTCGGGAAAGCAACACTACTGGATACCGCAAGACTTGATTTAAAGCCTTTACATGAGATATCCCATTTCCTCATCTGCAAACCGGTGCCCCTATCCCAGACTACTTCCAAAGTTTCTTGCGGGTACAGAATACCACCCAAGTGTTGGACTGTTAGAGTAAATCAGGGTGGGGAATGTAAGCGAAACTGGGCTTCAAAGATAGAGCTACCAGGATTACTCGCAATATTTGGGTACAGAGCAGTTTAGCATGTATCATGTCTTCCTCTTGTTTCAATGATACACAACTTTGCTCTTTAAATCTGAAAACTTCCAGGCTGCTAATCTAAAGTAAAGCACAATCAGAAAATGCCTTCAATTTATCAACTGTCCCAAAGGTAAGAGTTCCTAGCTCTATTATTTCCCCTTGTAACAGCAGTCACAGAATTGTCAAAGCTACACTAGATCAGTTTGCCATCTTTACAAGGGTTTTCATGATTTCCGCTCCACTGCCATTTGAGAAAAAAAAAAATATGCCAAACATTTCACATTGTTTACCTTAACTAGTAAGAATTACCATTAAGGAAAATGTCAGGCCCAGAGAGGACACTTTTGCGAGCATCAGCTGTCACTGTTAACACATTACTGGATCATTAGCAGTTATTTAGGGAATAGAAAGGGTTACTAAAATGAAGATTAGAGAGCAAATTGGGTCTACAGGGGGTTCTGTCTCCCATTTTCCTTTTTTCAAGAAAATATTTATGTAAGAAATATCCTGTGCCAGGTTTGCCCCACATTTGAAATGTATCCTCTTGATATAAACTGGGATGAGTAACATTTTGTCTTTAGTGAAAAGTAATTACAGTAGAGAACTCAGAAGACAACACCATTAAAGCTTTTTTTTTTTTAATTACAGAAAAGGAAGGCAGTACGGATAATAAAAATAATAACAGTCTCTAATATTTAGAGAGGCTTACTAGCCGCCAGGAGCCAGCTGTGTTGCACATTTTATAGAATGTATGTTTAATCCTCATAACAGGCCTTTGGAGTAAGTCCTGTTATTATTCCCTCCCCTCTTTTTCCACATGAAACAGCTGAGATTTGAAGAAGTTAATCTAATTGGCACCACCTCACACAACGAAGGTTAGAAATAGCATGGGGATTTAAAACTCAGGTTGGTCTGCTTTCAGACTGCGCTCATAACAGCCACAGAGTGGGGTCTCTTCAGGCAGAGTAAAGCTGCCTGGGTTAGAATCGTGGCTCCACCATATTGACTACTCATGACCTTGGGAATGGCATCTTATTCTGCTCATCTGTGAAGTGGAAATACTATGATACCTTCCACATAGGGTTGTTAGAATTAAATGAGATCAAACAAAGTCTGGTATGTCATCAGCACTCAACGAATGTTGGTCTTCATCATTAGCTATTATTGCTCTAATAATAACAGCAGTAATAGCAGCAGCAAAAGCAATAGCGTTTTTCCATAATATAATAAAAAGTACGTCTTCTGAAGACAAAAGTTAAAACCCCACCATCCCCAAATACTAGATAACTTAACTCTGGTCGAAGACCTACTTAATGAAATAAAACGAGAAGACAAGAATAGAGAAAAAAGGATAAAAAGGAATGAGCAAAGTCTCCAAGAAATATGGGACTATGTGAAAAGACCTAATTTACGTTTGATAGGTGTACCTGAATGCGACAAAAAGAATGAATCCAAGTTGGAAAATGCTCTTCAGGATATTATTCAGGAAAACTTTCCCAATCTAGCAAAGCAGGACACTATTCAACCCCAGGTAATACAGAGAATACCACAAAGATATTCCTCAAGAAGAGCAACCCCAAGGCACATAATCGTTAGATTCACCAGGGTTGAAACAAAGGAGAAAATACTAAGGGCAGCCAGAGAGAAAGGTCAGGTTACCCACAAAGGCAAGCCTATCAGACTTACAGCAGATCTCTCAGCAGAAACCCTACAAGCCAGAAGAGAGTGGGGGCCGATATTCAACATCCTTAAAGAACAGAACTTTCAGCCCAGAATTTCATATCCAGCCAAACTAAGCTTCACAATTGAAGGAAAAATAAAATCTTTTATGAACGAGCAAGTACTCAGAGATTTTATTACCACCAGGCCTGCTTTACAAGAGCTTCTGAAAGAAGCATTATACATAGAAAGGAACAACTAGTATTAGCCTTTCTAAAAATATACCAAAAAGAAAAGAGCATCAACATAAAGAATTTACATCAACAAATGGATAAAATAGCCAGTTAACATCAAATGGCAGTAATCCTAAATTTAAATCGACTAAATCCCCCAATCAAAAGATACAACCAAAACCCAATGGTATGCTACATCCAGACCCATTTCACATCCAAAGATACATAAAGACTCAAAACAAAGGAATGCAAAAAGGTTTACCAACCAAATGGAGAGCAAAAACAAATAAATAAATAAAAAGCAGGAGTTGCAATTCTCGCATCTGATAAAATAGATTTCAAAGCAACAAAGATATAGTGGTAAAAGGATCAATCAACAATAAGAGCTAACAATCCTTACACCCAGATACATAAGACCCATAAAGAGATTTAGACTCAACGAGACAGAAAATTAGTAAGGATATCCAGGACTTGAACTCAGATCCGGAACAAGTAAACTCAATAAATATTTATAGAGCTCTCAATTTTAAATACACAAAATATACATTCTCCACCTTAAATACACAAAATATTGATCGGCCATTATTAATATCAATTTTTAGAATAAAGCTATATTCCCGTTCTCTCTCCCTCTTTTTCTTCCTCTTTCTTCCTCTCCTTCACTCCTTTTCTTTTTTTTTTCTTCCTAAAAAAAAAAAAAAAGGAAAGTCGGGGTTTCACCATGTTGGGCAGGCTGATCTCAAACTTTTGACCTCCTCTGCTCGCCTTGGCCTCCAAAGTGCTGGGATTACAGGCATGAATCACCGTGTCTGGCCTAGAAGATAGCTTTTATAAGACAGTTTGTTGGAACTTATCTGTAAAGCTATCTGGGACCGGGATTTTTTCAATTCCTTTTATACTTATTCATATAAAAAGAAAAAAAAAAAAAACTCTGGCCATTAGGTTTAAATTCTCTAATTCTCACTTTATTCCTCCTTCATGTCAAGAATGGTGAAGGCTGAGATTTTATCCTACTGGCAAGCTAAGAGGGTAGCCACAGTTTCACAGATGCTAGCAGAAGACACAAAACTCCTGGAGCTCCTAAACTCAAGACTTGATCACACCCACAGCACAGCAAGTAGAGTAAGTACAGCATGTTCACCTCAGTTCCCCTTGCCCCAAGTCCCACAGGAGTTAGGCAGATGGGCCCAAAAAGAAGCCTGCCCACACAGGCAGCTCCTGGAGAAGAACCCTGAGCTCAGAAAACTAAATCTAAGCTCAGAGACTGGACTGGAAACACACCTGCCCCTTGTTCTGGAGGGAGAGACTATCTCTATCTTCCAAAGCTGTTTGCTAAACAAATGTCCTTGGCAAGATAACCTAAAAC